GATGACTACCGATTATGAGCGAGTGCTCAGAAAAACTCAATGGTGATTCATACTACTATATAAAAGTGAGATAAGAAGACTATTCTTAGTTTCAAGTACGCCAGCATAGCATACCACAGCGTCGCTCGCCGTTCTCCCACTGCTCTGACTGTTGCTACGCCCGCTACGACTTCCCTCGCAAGCACACACCCTACACTGCAACTCATCGAGCCTTAGTGCCAACAAGGATATCTCCTGAATGGCAGTGAATAGAAACCTCACCATCAAAACCACCTACCCGCTTCTCTGCTTGCAGACCCTCCATTCGAACTGCCACTTTGCTACGTCGATTCTCCAACTTCCTGTACTGATCATCAACGTCTTCCTCCTTTCCAAGAGCTTCAAGTCGCTCTCGGCATGCTTTCATCTGCTATACACTCCGTGGACTCCCTACCCTGCCCTCCCTTACCTCCTCGGTGACGGCCTCCAGGTTGGAGCTCACTTCACAGAGTATTGATGGTACCTTGAGCGTCAGCATCGCAAAGCTATATAATAACCAGATATAAACCTTCGTAAGACAGATTCGTAGATAAAGTGGAGTTTCACAATCACGGGCGGCCGTAATATGAAAAACACTAGTGAAAAATATATTTCACGACTACTGCATATCACCGCGAATATCGCGTTTTTCACTTCACGTAAAACGGGTGGTGAAACTCCAATATAATGGTGATCGCCCATTTCACATTAAGAATAGATCCAGAGTAGCGTCATATCTAAGTTGTATTTTCTATTCAAATTTCAATTTCTCCAGTTATTCTTTCTTCCCTGTTACTCTCATGTCACACTGGACTCTGACTCCTCCCATTGGAACTGCGCTTTCAAAGTTTCCTTTATAACTATCATAACAAATCCCCCCGGTCGTCCGCTACCTCCTCTAGGATATCTCTAAGCACTTGCCCATCATGAGTCGCCGCTTCCAGCGCCTCTTCATCAGCCACTACACGTTCCCGTACCTCCGATAGCCTCCCTCGCAGACTGTCCATCATCTCGAGCATCTGTACATAAAGCCTGACCACTCCATCACAGCAACAGAGTCACCTCCGTCTCGGTCACTTTACCCGCCGCATGCTCCTGCTTCAACCTACGACATTCCTTCCGACCCTCTCCCACGAGCTCGTCAACTTGCCGCTCTCTCGATCGGACTCGCTGTCGTAGGTTACAATTCTGCCGAGCAGAAATAGGTCCCAGGTTGTCAGTGCTGCAAAATATGTTCGCTTCCCTCAGCTACTGAGCTCAATAATTCCCTCATTGAGTGTACAGAAACTAACAAAATTTCCTCAGAGTTTTGATATTCTCACCAACACCTGTGGTGGCCGCCCTCCCCCACCTCTTCTCTACGTCGCGCGAATCCTCCCTCCCTAGTTGTAAGCAACGAATCCCTCTCTCTGAGCTCCCCTGCTGAATACATGCGACTATACTTCAGCAGAGAACCACAGACCTGCGGTCTTCCTGGCGTCCTCCAAGGCTAGGTCCCATCCACTAAGCTTGCTGCGTGCATCTCTTCGTGCAGCATCAAGCTCTCGCCCCAAACTCAGCAAATGTTCGAGGCTGACAGTGAAGGGCTTCTTTCCATAATGCAACTACCCAGTGTTGGAGTAGGAATATATGTTTGCTTTCCTCAGCTACTGAGCTCAGGAGTTTCCTATACAGTGTTGGAGTAGGAATATATGTAATCGCTTTCCTCAGCTACTGAGCTCAGGAGTTTCCTATACAGTGTTGGAGTAGGAATATATGTTTGCTTTCCTCAGCTACTGAGCTCAGGAGTTTCCTATACAGTGTTGGAGTAGGAATATATGTTTGCTTTCCTCAGCTACTGAGCTCAGGAGTTTCCTATACAGTGTTGGAGTAGGAATATATGTAATCGCTTTCCTCAGCTACTGAGCTCAGGAGTTTCCTATACAGTGTCGGAGTAGGAATATATGTTTGCTTTCCTCAGCTACTGAGCTCAGGAGTTTCCTATACAGTGTTGGAGTAGGAATATATGTAATCGCTTTCCTCAGCTACTGAGCTCAGGAGTTTCCTATACAGTGTTGGAGTAGGAATATATGTTTGCTTTCCTCAGCTACTGAGCTCAGGAGTTTCCTATACAGTGTTGGAGTAGGAATATATGTTTGCATTCCTCAGCTACTGAGCTGAGGAGTTTCCAAAACTAATTTCAGAGGTTCTCATATGAACTGGGGTAGAAGTTTCATACTGTCACCGCTACACAGGGAAATATGCACATAGTCAACCACGTTTGATGATGATAATAAAGGGTGTTTCAAAGCTTCGTGGACAACTTGAAGACCCTGGAATTTCTAAACCACGCAGTATTTGACAGCGGCAATTTGTCTGAACATCGGGCATTTCACAAGTGATGTCCAATTCACTGCATTCGACAATTCGAATATCTTCAAGTTGTCCCCGAGGTTTTGAAACACCTTTTGTGATAATTCTGAAGAAATTTTCGTTGGTTTCTGTATACTACTACCACGAATTCGTATATAACTAGTGACAGCTGAGGACAGCAGACCTCTATTCCAACACTGCATGACCCCAACAAGTTGGCACAACATGCATTGAATTTCGCCCTACACCCACCCTCGCTGAGCCTTATCGCGTCTCTGCATCGCCACCTGGACTTTGCTCTCTATTTCTCTACTCGACACTTCAAGTTGCGTCTGCCTGTCATCTCAGCTGCCCAAACTCAATGGCAACTCACCCGGCACTTCAAAAGCTGATGGCGCGCGCCACAGTTGCACGCAGCATTCAGCAATTTATCATCTCTGTCCTGTGGTCCTTCGGAATAGTTCGAAAAACTCCGAGATGTAGTGCCTGTGAAGTGATTTTTATGGTATCACCATTATAGAGTTTCACGTGAGTTGACGTAGAACTCCATGTGAAAAACGCGATACTCGCGGTGCTATGCAGTAGTCGTGAAATATGTTTTTTTTCATATCACTAGAGTGGTGAAACTCCATGTGAAAAACGCGATACTCGCAGTGATATGCAGTAGTAGTCGTGAAATATGTTTTTCATATCACTAGGGTGGTGAAACTCCATGTGAAAAACGCGATACTCGCGGTGATATGCAGTAGTAGTCGTGAAATATGTTTTTCATATCACTAGAGTGGTGAAAATCCAATAAATTCAGCTATACTCATATCGAAGACCAACCAGAAGCTGTTGATCGCCATCAGAGTAACGCCGCCCTCACCTTCTCCAGCGCTATTGCCAACTTCTACCCGCCACGCCGCGAGTCGCCCCGTAGCCTGAGTGCTCGCAACGCTCTCTGTTGCATCCATACGGTACCTACATATAAACCAAAATAGAGTTTCACTACCCGTTTTACGTGAAGTGGCGATATCGTAAATTTAGAATTTAATAATCATGATTAATATACTATGAAAATACTAAATATTGGAGTTTCCCCCGTTTTACGTGAAGAAGTGTAGTACTCTATGAAAAACGCGATACTCATTGCTATGCAGTAGCCGTAAAATTTGTTTTTCATATCACGATATATTTTTTTATCAAGTTTTTTTTATGGTTAACATACGTTGGAGTTTCACCACCCTAGTGATATGAAAACATATTCCACGACTACTGCATATCACCGCGAATAATATCGCGTTTTCACATGGAGTTTTACGCCACTTCACGTAAAACGGTTGGTGAAACTCCATTAATAAAGTTCCCCTTCTCACGCAGCGCCGCCCTCTTTTCTGCTCAGTGTGGACGACGCTGTTGACGATAGCCGACTAGCATTCACTTCACTGCTAGTGAGAGGCCTGAAATTCTCAGCTACTACTATTGAGAATCGCTTTACTAGCCTA